AAACAAGCTTGATCTATCAGAGACATATAGTATCCTGCAATAAACAATTAGAAAACATATATCCTAGAAAGTGAAGGTTAAAGATTTTGAAATAAATTCCAGCTACTTAAAGGGTGAAGTACCCCCCAAAAACAAACAAACAAACAAAAAACACACAGATGAGCGTGGACTTGATTTTGCTTTATACAGTTTAGATGATGGTTTCTAACTTTTCTATTACTTTAATAATAAGCAAAAATATGGCTGTTTTTAATAATGATGATACTAGTTCCCACTCGTTATTGAGTTATATACCAGACAGTGAATATTAGGTATTTTACGTACAATTCATTCATTTCTACTTCTATAAGGCAGGTATCATTGGCCTCATTTTATATAAATTAACAGTCTTCAGGCTTCTGTTTTCACCAGTTCTCAATTAGATAGCATAGGCTCATGTCTTTGGTTTGATATCTGGATTTAGAAGCTATTCAGAACTGCACCGGAGTCACACTCAAAGATATGGAATGAAAGAGATTAAGGATCATTTTCCAGAAAAAGAATTACTTGCTTGTAGTGGACTTTTAGGCAGAACTGGATTTTCTTACTTTTCCACACTAATTTCATATAAAAGAACAACAAAAATACCACACATCTTTCCTTATCTATGATGCTTTCCTTTTTATAAAATTCATACACTGATTCATTTGATCTTCACAGCACCAAGCTGGGAAGGATGGAAAGTATTATCTTCAGTTTAGAGATGAGGAAAAGGAAGCCAAGAAATTAAATGTCTTGCTTAAGCCTGGCCAACATGGCTCAGTGGTTGAGTATCGACCTATGAACCAGGAGGTCATGGTTTGGTTCTAGGACAGGACACATACCCGGTTTGTGGGCTCGATCCCCAGTGTGGGGTGTGCAGGAGGCAGCCCATCAATGATTCTCTCATCATTGATGTTTCTATCTCTTTCTCTCTCTCCCTTCCTCTCTGAAATCAATAAAAATATATTAAAAATATAAATAAATAAATAAATAAAAAATGTCTTGCTTAAGATATCTTGCTAATAAACAGTGGGTAAAATCCAAACCCACATCTGAGAAGCCTGTGCCATTTCTATTATACTTAACAGGTAGGGACACTTTCACCTAACGCTACCACGTGCAGCGGAAATACTTGTTTTCTTCTATAAAAGGGCAGCTTTTCTGTTCAGTTTTATGTAGTTTTAATTTTCCTTTTATTTAAACTGCTTTTGACACAGGTTGTTCCAATTATGTGTTCTATTTGTCTCCTGAAGAGTAAAATTCCAGAGAGTAAGTTTCCTAGACAGCTTTTAAAATGTTAATAGCCAATATAGACATTCAAAATGTTCATAGCAGTTATCTCTAAAAGGAGGGATTTCAAATAACTTGAGTGTTCTTCCTTAAACTTGTTAAAAATCAAACGATTCATCTTCTCTACATTATCCAGACTTAAAACCACCTTTGCATCCCCCACTGTACTGTACATACTAGGTGCTCAGTAGCAGGTGCTGAATAAATCACTGTTTTCTAAACTTTGGCCACATCTGTGTACTCTCTGTGTTATTTACTTAATGTCTTTCTTTAAACCAATTCACTTTTTAAAAAATATTTTTTTATTGATTTCAGAGAGGAAGGGAGAGGGAGAGATAGAAACATCAATGATGAGAGAGAATCATTGATCAGCTGCCTCCTGCATGCCCCACACTGGGGATCCCACAACCTGGGCAGTGCCTTGCCTAGAAATCGAACTGTGATCTCCTGGTTCATAGGTCGACGCCCAACACTGAGCCACTAACCCAACTCACTTTTTAAAACTGAGCCTCATCCTAAATGACAATATTCATGAAATCATAATATGCTAGTTTTCTTTTTCCTAATATACAGTAGTAAAAATAGCTATTCAAACTCACAGTGATATACTACTTAAAATCACCTCACCAGTGGGACATACACTGGAAAGCAATACAGTTAATGAATGTTGAGTCCATCTTTGACCTTCTCCCTCACTCCACATAACAGCAATCACCAAGTACTTTAAATCCATCTTTTGTTGTTATTCTCCCACTTATTCTGACCTCTCACTCTAGTGCAGGCCCTCATTGTCTCATGCTTATCTTGATGCAATAGGCCTCGTCTTTGCTCTCTCCTATATGCTGCCACCAAATTTTTATCTTCCTAAAACAAGATTTGGCCTCTATACTCAAGTCAATCTAAACTTTTCAGGCCACTGGAAACAACCACTTGATGTCTTCAAGAAGGAGTATTTTATAAACTGGTCCTGGCCTACGTTTTCATCTCATTCTCAGAGAATCCATTCAATCATCAGTCTCAGAATAGCCACTGTACAGTGAGTTGTTGTTTTTGGTCTCTTTAGCTTTATTAATTCCATGTCTTCAATGTGAAGAGGCCCATCCTCAAGTCAAATCCTGTCTAGTTCAAATATTCTCTTTTAAGAAATCTGTCTGATCATTAGAATCTGCATTAACTTCTTAATTTCTAAAAGCCACACTACTTCGGCTACTTAGGATATTTACCACACTTTGCCTTAAAGTATGGGCTATTTGTGTACATATCTAGTCTTCTTCACTATAGGTTCTTTAGGGTAGGGCTATGTCTAATATACCTTCATCTTGTAACTTACACATAGATGCGAAAATATTTGTAGTTATCAATGAAATAAAGCAGGCTCTTTAAGAAGCCAGAAAATAATTCAAATTCCATTCAACATGCTTCAAAGGACTAACCAATCTTTTTAAAACTTTAAGCCAAAGAGTACTGTTCTCATAGATACTACAGATCTAATTTCATTACATTGCTTAAAGTTAGTGAATCACTACCTATGTCTAGGTTTGGCTATAATGCAATCCACCCTGTATGTGGATACCTCTTAGTAGGTTGCTTTGCTGAATTTGTATGACTCCTCAGTGTTGTCACTGGGTTAGCCTTTCTGGACTCCAGTTTTCCTAACTACAAGATGACCTTAAGATCTCTCCCTGGCTTAAAATCCTATGACCCTTGGTCAGACCAAAGTGATCTTTATTCCAAAATCCTAACAAGTGGGATAACCACACTTAAGAAATAAATACAGCCGTAACCGGTTTGGCTCAGTGGATAGAGCATCGGCCTGCGGACTGAAAGGTCCCAGGTTCGATTCCGGCCAAGGGCATGTACCTTGGTTGCGGGCACATCTCCAGTAGGAGGTGTGCAGGAGGCAGCTGATCGATGTTTCTCTCTCATCGATGTTTCTAACTCTCTATCTCTCTCCCTTCCTCTCTGTGAAAAATCAATAAAATATTTAAGAAAAATAAATAAATACAATCAAATGAGTTAAGCTTCTCCCAATGCTATTTAATCCCTTCACAGAATTTTGTTCCATCTACATATTTATAACAGGCTAGGCATTTTACTAGACCATCTTTTTAAGTCAAAGCAGATGCTTGAATGATAGTAATTATTTTCTGGTATGTAGACGATATAAAATGAACTAAAGGTATTTCTAATATAGGGTGGGGCAAAAGTGGGTTTACAGTTGTTTGTATAGAAAGTAATACAATAATTAATAAACAATAATACAAGAATAAATTCTGTGTTTTGCATACTCACAACTGTAAACCTACCTTTGATCCACCCTGTATATTATTTCATTTAATCTTCATGACCCTAAAAGGTAGGCATCTTTAGCCCAGTATCTCTCAACTCAGAGTGATCTTGTCCTGCAAGCCCCCACCCCCACGGATATCAGGCAATGTCTAGAGACGTTTTTGGTAGTCACATCTGTTGGGGTGGCAAGGCGGTGCTAGTGGTGCTGATGCTGGCATCTAGTGGAGAGAGGCCAGGGATTCTGTTAAACATCCTATGATGCACAAGACATCCTCCCACAACTAAATATTATCTGGCCCAAATGTCAACAGTGCTGAAGTGAGAAACCCCAGTAGCATCATCTTTTAGTTAAGAAACCAATGATTTGCCTGGCCGGCAGTTGAGCGTCAACCTGTGAACCAGGAGGTCACAGTTCAATTCCCGGTCAGGGCACACGCCTGGGTTGAGGGTTTGATCCCAAGCATATATATTAAAAAAAACCACCCCAACAATTTAGAAAGCTTAACATACTTGCCCAGCATTACACAGATTCAAAATCATCTCTGAATGACACCAAAGCCAACAGAAGATCATACCTACAAATACTGGTGACTACTGATTACATTTGTGTTGTTTCTTATCATTGTCTCCCCCCTCCCCCCATTAGCCTTAGCACTTTAGACTTTGCTAGTCAGCATCAGCTGACCTCATCCAGGAAAGGACTCAGAAAAAGCTTTCTCAGACTCTCAGGTCAGATTTAAGAAATGCCTTTTCTTGTGTTCTCACTGCATCCAGTATACATAGCTTCACTGTGGCAATTACTATGTTGTACTGTGATTGTATAAGTTCCTTGAGAGCAAGGGTTTGCCTCTTTAAGTTTGTATTCCAAGTGCCAAGCAAAATATCTCAGCACAGAGTATACATTTCATAAATATTTGTTAAATAAACAAAAGAAAACTGACCAAATTACATAATGTACCCAAGGACACACAGCTACTAAATGACAGAACCAGGATTCTAATCCAAGTCTCTCCGTTGCCAGAGCCTATAATTATTGTCTCAATGAAACTAAAAATGAGATGTCTATCTCCTCTTTATCCTGCCTGTGGAATTTCTTTGATCATAAACATATCAGGAATAAAGATAAAGCCCCTGTTTTAAAGATAGCTTATAATCATAAGAATTTTCCTATCTTATGCTTCTAATTTTAATGTGTACATTCTGCAAAAGCTTGCAAGGTAGTCAGCATGTATAATAGTGAGGATCTCTCCCAAATACCAGAATTATAAAGGGGCCGTGGTGCTTGTATTTGATAGTCTCCCTGAATTCAACACTTACATAGAAGTGGATGTTACCTAGAGTCGTCACAGAAATTGTTCATAAAAACTAAACCAGAGTCTCTTAGGAAAAGAAGAACTCACTTTAACTTTAGCTTTTATTTCTTCACTGTCCCCTTCTCCATCATTGCGGGGTTCCATGCCAGACTCCTCCCGGATGTCTTTGTTTAGTATAGAATACTCTTCTAGTAGAGTGTCAAACAAAACTATTCGCTTGTTCTTGAAGAAGCCATAAAAATAAGCATTGCTGTGGGAAGAGCGTTTAGATCCTAAGGAAAAGACAGTTCAAAGCACGGAAAATAATTAAAAAGTCTGGGGTCCTTTGGAGAGACTCCTAGAAATTGAATTACTGGAAAGGACATTAACATTTTCAAATGGTTTAATACCTGAAGAAACTGTGTCAATATAAATCACCACCAGCAGTGGAAAGTGTCTGTTTACCTGTAGTCTTGCCAACAGAGATGTGTGCTCATCAGGGCTGTAGAGCAATAAGTAAGTAAGGAAAACCTAAATATCCAGCAGCAGCAAAATGATTAAATTATTGTAAAGCTATGAGATGGCAAAATTATACTAGAGTTAGAAACATTGATGAGAGAGAACTATCGATCAGCTGCCACCTGCACACCCCCTACTGGGGATATGCCCGCAACCAAGGTACATGCCCTTGACTGGAATCAAACCTGGGACCCTTCAGTCCGCAGGTCGACGCTCTATCCACTGAGCCAAACCAGTTAGGGCCAAAATTATACTTTTGAAGAATGTTAACAAGATAGGAAAAAGTTTCACCAATATAATGAGGATTAAAACTTTATGTACCTAAGGTTCCATTATTGTCATGAAAAAAATATACATGTAAATAGAAAAGTATAAACAAAAGCCTATTAAGAAATATACCAAAATACTGAAGTGTTAAAAAAACCCACTGCAGTGTTTATCACTGGCTTCTAGAACTATGGATTTTTGTTCCCCTTGTCTATTTTCCAAGGCTTGTAAGTATACACACTTCTATATTCAGAAAATAATTAAAGCTATTTTTTAAAAGACTGGGGAAAAAATACCTAAATTTTTAACAGTGGCTAACAGTAGCTGAACAAACTATGATTAATTTTTATTTTCTCCTTTATTTATGTATTTTTATTTTCTAAATGTTCTATAATATGCAGTGAATTTAATAATTACGAGCAGACTTTGTGTTCAAATCTTGGATCTGCCATGTATTAGCTGTGAGTAAGAAACTTTCTTAAATTTCTTTAAGCTTTATTTTCCTGTTTATGATGCAAGCCAATATCTATGTCATTGGATTAGGTTAAGGGTTACATGAGAAATTCTAAGTAAATCAATTAGTACACTGCCTGATCCATATAAACTATTATTATTTACATACTTTTAAAAAGTAATAATAAAATATTTGTTTCTCTTGAGAATTTTAGATCTCTCACAGAAATGTGAATTTAAAAATATTTTTTTATTGATTTCAAAGAGGAAGAGAGAGGGACAGATAGGAACATTAATGATGAGAGAGAATCACTGATCGGCTGCCTCTTGCACACCTCCTACTAGGACCGAGCCTGCCACTGGGGCATGTGCCGTGACCGGGAATCGAACCGGTAACCTCCTGGTTCATGGGACAATGCTCAACCACTGAGCCACGCTGGCCGGACAGAAATGTGAGTTTTTATCTACTCATATTTCTAATGTAAAGCATGTCCAGTAGTATATTTAGAATATAGTATATTCTATATATATAGCAGTATGTTTGGCAGTCTGTTTAGAATACAGTAAGGCTTTGATAAATAGTGGCATTTACTTATTTATTTTTCAGTTTTTGTTTAATTGCCAAATATGTGGTCCAATTTTGCTAGTCATATAGGGTCTGGAAAGCCGTTTATCAATCTGAGGTCTTATACTTTTCATTTCTGTCTTGTTTTTTTAAAAAATTAATTTAAAAATATTTCTTAGATGGTGCCTGAAGTTATTTATGGAAGCAGGCAGATTGTAGGCATATAAATAAAATAAAATTAACATCTTAATATCTCCCACTGGTCCAAGTGTCTCAAAGTATGGCCCAAGGAACACCTCCACGAAAATCACCCCAGTGCTATTGTTAGAAAGTAAACACTAGCAACACCTATGAGGTCAGACCTCTGGGAATGGAGGCCAGCAATTTATCTTTTAACAAATTCTCCAGGGAATTCTTATACAGTACTCACTAAAGTTTAAGAGTCCCTGCACTAGACCATAAGCTTTTTGTATTGCTGTGCCTGGCACGTAGTATATATTCAATAGTGCTTGTTTACTAAATGGATTAATGATGCCACTTGAGGTGTGAGGCAATGTATTTGAGAACTCGAAAAATCAAAATGTTCTATGCAAATGTAAGGCACTGCCAACTGTATCATTTTTGTTTATGATCTTAATCAACCTCTCAGCAGCATTTGCAGTTGACCACTCCCTCCTTGAAACACTTTCTTTTCCTACTTAAAAAGAAACAGCATTTTCTCCTCTTTTCCTTCCTATCTCAATGGTTTCTCCTCTGTGTCCGATGCTGGCTCTTCCTCTCCTGCTGACTCTGACCTGAGCCCCACTCTCTTCTCTAAATGTCCTTATCCGTGGCATTAAACACACCTACGTGCCAGATACTTCCCTATCAATATTGCTGGCCCTGACCTCTCCCTAGAACGCCAAACTCATACACCCAGCTGACTATTTGCTATCTCTACATCTCCCCATGAATGTCTATAGTGCATATTTGTTGCTTATATTCTTATGTGTGGCTTCTTCCCTGCCCAGGACTGGAATCTCTGTTCAGAGTTAAGGAAATTCAAACCATGTAAATCTTGTGAGAGACTGCTTCTCATTTAAGAAATACAAAAAGACACATATTTGCTTCCCCAGCATTCCTGACAGTGAGCCCTGTGCCCTGGCTCAGTCAATCAAATGCACCCATTGGGGACTCTGGATAGTTAGCACTAGAAGCAGGGCAGTGAGGAACTAATTCTGTAGGTGCTAGTGGCAGGGATATTAGGGGTGCAAACTGCTGAATCCAACAGAAGGAGGCAACAGCAGTGTCCTCCCAGACTGGTCTGCAGTGAAATTCCGAGTTCCCCATCTCCCTATGGAACAGCCCATCTTCCAAGCTTGATAAACTTAATTTCCTGGTGATTCTGTAAGCTATCAAATAGTGTTTCAATAAGCAATTGTTTTCTGCTTACATTAGCCAGTTGGTTTCTACTACTTGTTTGCCACTAACTACTGCCTGCAGAATTCTAATTCAATGTTCAATAGATATCTCAATATACAGCACATCCAACTGAAGTTCGCATAAACCTGCTGTTCCCCAGTTTTCCCAATATCAGTAAACTATCATTTATCCAATTGCTCAGGCTAAAAATCTAGGTTATCATCCTTGATGTCTCCCCTTCTCCCTTAATCTTTTCCATATAATCTATTAGTATAGTCCCATCAACTCTACCTCTAAAACACATCCCCAGTGCATCCACTTCTCTCCTTCAATCACTACTGCCCTAGTCTAAGCTACTACTCTCCCCTACCTGGATTACTAGAACCTCCTCCTAACGGCTCTCCCTGCTTTTACCCTTGCCGCCCCTACAATCTATTCTCCATAGCAAACCAAGATATTTTAAAAATACAAACCAGACCATGTCACTTTCCTGCCTAAAACCTTCAATGGCTTTCCCCCTTGAAGTTAAAATAAAACCCAAGCTCCTTCCCTGATTTACAAAGGCCCTCGTGGTCTGACTCTTGCCTGTCTAAGATTTCATGTCCTAACACTCCTGCTAAGTGGCAGCCACATTGGACTTTTTTCTGTGTCTTGATGATTCAAAGCTCTGGAAGGTCTTTCTATTGATTTCAGCATGCATGGCTCCTTTCTTCAGGTCTCAGCTTACATTCATTTGCTCAGTGAGGTCTTGCCTGATGACCCGCTAAAGCAGCGGTTCTCAACCTGTGGGTCGAGACCCCTTTGGCGGTCGAAGGACCCTTTCACAGGGGTCGCCTAAGACCATCCTGCATATCAGATATTTACATTACGATTCATAACAGTAGCAACATTACAGTTATGAAGTAGCAACGAAAATAATTTTATGGTTGGGTCACAACACGAGGAACTGTATTTAAAGGGCCAGAAGGTTGAGAACCACTACTCTAAAACAAAAAACTACTTTCAAAGGGGCAGATAATAGTTCTGGAAAAAATACATTTAAATATATTTTAAATATAAATATATAATTTCAATAATATGTTCTAGATATAATTGATATATAATTCCCTATGAAAATTTGACAAACTTTAAAGGGAATAACATTAAAATTTCTCTCTGATACAGCAGAGCCACTCCAGCAGGTCACCAATAAGTAGAAAAGCCAGCTAGAGGTCAAGAAAGATAGTTGAGGGAGAAAAAACAAGTCTAGCGAAAATGCTACAGTTCCAAGGCTACAGCTCCCTAGCCAGGGTCCACGTCCATCCCATATGGTATCATCAGCTGTGATTTCATGTTATCTGATTATAACTTAAGTGATTAGCAACTTAGGTTGCTTCTTTAGTAAAGACCCTGAGAAACTGTTCTACTGTACTAATTAGTGTGCTACTGTTTAATATTAATTAAGAGTAGTGATTCTCAGAGGCTAAAGAAGTAATATGAATCGGCTTGTTCTCCTACCATTTCCCCATGGAAATGTTCCAACTGTACCTTTAGTTGACCTGTATAACCTCAGAAGCTACCAAGTATCTGAGATTTCTATACTCTCCTAATTGCTGTTAATTCATTCTTTCCAGTTGTGACCATCTCTGTTCTCACCTGGCCCCGAAATTACGTAATTCTGTTTCTATTCATTCATCTAATATAACTGCTTCTCATTGGTGATTTTTTAGTTTAAATGATGGATGGACAAACTATGGCTTGCAGGCTCAATCTAATCTGCTACTTATTTTTATACATAAAGTTTTATAGAACACAGCCATGCTCATATTTATGTATAATCTATGCTGTTTGGCACTATAATGGCATAGTTGAATAGCTTCAACAAAGAACATACGCCTGCAAAGCCTAAAATATTTATTACCTATGGCATTACAGAAAATGTTTGCCAAACCGTGGTTTAGAGGAAGCAAAACTGAAAGCCAGAGTGGTAAAGTGATCTGTCCAAGATTCCACAGCTGGTAAGTAACAGAGGCAAAACCAGCCTTGTTCATTTACATGGATTTTAATGTAAAGATTCTGAAAGTCATGGTACCACACAACAGTTTTAATTGACATCTCTGTAAGCTTCCTTGAGACTTTAGTAGTCTTATGTAAGCTCCTAGATAGCTTACCTCTACCCAATGGTAGGACAGTTTTTGGTAATTTGCAGGTTTTCACAATCAGAGTCTTCCAGAACACTGGAAGTTTTGTTGAAAGAGACAAAGCCAATAACAATGGCTTTATGAGCCTAAAACTAGTGCTAAATGGAATGACTATACAACAGTCCTACTTAATTACTAGGTGCCAGGCAGGTAACAAAGTCCTTAAGTCAGTCTAATATGCATGCTATTAAAGGGAGTGATAAAAGCCTTGGCCCAAAATTAAAAACAATATTGTAAAGCCAACCAAACACAGCTTCAGGCAAGAATAGGATCTGACACCAAGCCACCAGTTTCTATCCCTGGATTATATCATCAATTCCTATAAATCATAAAACGTCAAAATGTAAAATCTTAACCTTTAGATAACAAAATTTTAAACAAACTGATTTGTTCATTTATTAAAGTTTTAAGAATAAAGTTCTCAAATAAACCACTCAACGAAATCTTCTTACCCCCAGTAGCCTTACCTTCAACAACATACACCTTAGTCAAAGGAAAGTCAATACTCTTTGCCATTATTTCAATTTCTTGTTTAAGCTTTCCCTCAGGTAGAGGTGTGAATTTGTCAAATAAAGGGGCAATATAATCAGCATAGATTGTGACAAGCACCTGAAAAGTAAATGTCAGAACAACCTATGAACATGTTCTTAAAAAAACTACTCATTATACAGATTCAATTACATTGAAACAATTATGTGATCCTAACCTTGAGAGCAGGGACCTTATCTACTAGTATTTGTTCTGGTATTCCCAGTCCCAAACCATACCAAATTCATCAATCTGTTTGATGAATTAAATCAATATGAATAGTCTCAAAGTGGTAATAACTGAAAAGTCAAATGGTCCATTCAAAACTATCTTGGGAATTTCATAAGCCCATAAGAAGTTGGAATGCTCCCTTTTAAAGTAACCATGACAGATCTGAAGTCTTTGCTAAAAAAATTACTAGCACCTGTGTGCTGTCTTATGTGGTTGGTCAGCTAAAATTAATTACCTACAGTTCACAACTGTACACTTGGTTGAAACAGCACTTCTTTAAGTATTTTGGAAGCATTTCCTCTCACTTCGTTTGCCATTCAACAGATATTTGTAAATCCAACTAGTGCCCATTTTCTAATCTTGATCCCACCAGTGGGAAGTGAAGCAATGAGCATCACGGCTGTCTTATGTGGTTGGTCAGCTAAAATTAATTACCTACAGTTCACAACTGTACACTTGGTTGAAACAGCACTTCTTTAAGTATTTTGGAAGCATTTCCTCTCACTTCGTTTGCCATTCAACAGATATTTGTAAATCCAACTAGTGCCCATTTTCTAATCTTGATCCCACCAGTGGGAAGTGAAGCAATGAGCATCAATCACACTAATTCAGACTAAAATAAACCTGCTCATTGGTGGAGTTAAGAGATGACAGATGATATTTTCTAGGGGCTGTCAACAGACAATTTTCATTGTGTTGTAGTGTTTGTGTTGTGAAACAGTTTAGAATGTGGGAAGGAGAAGAGGAAAAGAAGATGTGAATGAGGGAAAATGAAGGGGGATGAGAGAAAAAGGGAGGGAGAAGGAAGAGAGGAGAGAAGTAATGGGGAGAAAAGGAGAAGGGGAAGGTAGGAAGAAGGGGGGGAAAGGAGGGAGGAAGGAACAGAGAAGGGAGAAGGGAGAGAGGGAAAAGGGAGAAAGGAGGAAGGAAAAAGCAGAGGAAGAAAGCAAAGAAAAACCAGGTACATTTATGCTTTCTTCTTGTCCCTCTTCAATCTATTCTCTTCAAAACAGCCATGATTTTTAGGCAACGGAGCTCAGTCAAGAGTCATTAAATTACCAAAGTGTGTCATCCATTCTGGTGGCAACTCATAAATGCATAGCCCAAAATTGCCTGACAACTGGATCATTAAAAGTAACAACTAGCTTCTAGGATCTGTAAAAGTCAACATAAGGAGAAGAAAATCTGTCAGAGTCAATTCTCCTATTTTTATAACCAAAAGCAGAAACCAACAGGGGAATTTATGAGCACTTATGTGTATTTTATCTGCTTCTTAATAACTGTTTACATGCTAATGAAGACTATACCATAATTACCCCACTAAGGAAATTTGTAAAAAACATGAAACAAAGATTTTACTCACCAGAGAAACAGCTAATGTGAACAGCCAGGCGTAAATAAAAAAATAGTCACCCCCAATTTTAATAATGTAAAGTAGAAGTGAAGACACAGGCAATAAAATGCACTGAGTCACAATGAATTTTTTGATTGCATCTTTCATGAAGAACCCCAAAGTCTGAAAAAAGAAAACATCATCACAAGAAACTGAGAAACTGCTATTAAATAACTAATTAATGAATATAAAGGATACCTTATTAAAGTAAATTTAAAAATTAAAAGGCAGTGAGACTATATTATATGACACTAGATAACCCAAGACAATAACTAAATGTCTTACATTCTACACTTTAAAATAAACTCATTTAAATGTCAGCTGAAAAGCATTAGACATTAGAGTGCTAGAAGAGCTTATGGCAAGACTTTAAACTACAATCTTTACCACATGCAGTTCCCTTTTTCCTCAACTAATTCATGCTCTACAACAGCAAATTATGAGCACAAAAGGTCTTCACATTTAAGAGAGAACACTTGCATTTTCTATTATACCTGTTGATTGAAACCATGTTTTTCTTCTATCACAAAAGTATTATAAAGACTCCATGGCAAACCAGTCAATGCACTGAAAAGTGTAGCCATCAGCAGAAACACCAAAGACTGAGTGATCTAAAGACAAGAAGGGAAAAAAAAACATGGCAGTTTTTATAGTGTAGTATTAATTCATTCTTAAAATGAATTCTTAGTGAACAAATTGATAAGCAATTGCTGAGTACCTACTAGATCTCAAGCAATGTGTCTGATTCTATGGCTAATACAAGGTCTGAAACATCATCTATACCCTCAAAGTTTACTTCTTAGAGAAGGAGGCAAAAAAAACCAATTCCTCTTTTATTACACAGGCACTGTATGAAGTTACCTAAAGACATATAAACAGTTGAAAGATTTGGAAATCCCATAGGCAGCAAAATATCAGACATATGTCAAAGCACTATCTTTACCAATACATCTCCTAGGACAATGGAAACTAAGGAGAAAAATAAACAAATGGGACTACATCAAAATAAAGAGCTTCTGCACTGCAAAGAAACCATCAACAAAACAAGAGAGCCCAAAGCATGGGAGAACATATTTGCCAATGTTACATTTGATAAGGGTTTAATCTCCAAAGTTTATAGGGAACTCATACAACTTAACAAAAGGAAGATAAACAATCCAATCAAAAAATGGGCAAAGGACCTAAATAGACAC